GCAAATCATATAACACAATCTTCATCGGTACTTTTCAAGAAATTTCATGTTAATTCACTCACTGGACATAAATGACAAGAACATATTGTACTTCTAACACACTCATAATATGATATACTTATCAATAGTCTGAGTTGATTATATTGTTAGTACGAATAACGTGAAAAGAAGTGATATTAATAATCACAACACATAATAAGATGAACGGATATCTCGACGGATAAAAGTATAAAATATGTAAAAGTCATGTAGAAATGAAGTTCCATAAAATTCAAATAAGTAACGTTTGAGTAAGATAAATTCAATTTAACAATCGGATGATGTATATTACAACTCTAAACAGAAAAAGTTGTACCTATTTGGGATTTCATTTGTACACAGAGTTTTAGTCTGTTCACATCAGGTACTTTCATGATCATCTTTGTAAATAAAAAAATTATTAATTTTAAGTGGTTCTTCGGAGATTTTCGTATATTTCAAGTAATTTTCGCTAAGAACTGACGTTAATGCCTAAAACCAGGTACAGGAACGACCCACCTACATGATTTTCAGGACTGAGGACGAGCAATGTACCTTTAGATCACTGTTCAAATTGCTAGTTCCTCGCCGTGGGATAGGTGCTGCTCTAGGCCTTATTATTTTTTTCAATGAATTAACTGATTACCAAACCTTAGAATATGAATAATCACACATATCATTTCATTTACGTGGCTGCTGTTAGTACATCGCATCTGATGAACTCGCTGCTACCGTCCGTATTGGTTCTCTACCAGTAGGGGAACTTTAATTCCCACAACTTCAACTGATGCTAAAAACTTCAGTATATATCATATGGCAAAGCGGTCGATTATGAGGATGTCTTTAGCTAGAGCATTGGATAGCCGTTAATTATCATATTAAAATATCTTTTAATTACTAAACATGGATAAATATAGTGTAAAAGGAATATATTTCAATTTTTCATGCTTTTAGTACCTTATTGCATCGTAACAATATTTAATAAATCAATTATTATGGGGTGACTGTGGTCTACAAAAAAGTACGATTATTTGATATTATTCATTTTAATAGTGTGAGTTTATTATGTACGATACAGGTTCGTTAACGTTCACTAACAGCTAAAAAGGGTTTCGGATCCTTGTCATTACCCCATTTTAAAGTTTGTATATGTAATATACATTTGGAGCTCCTTTTAAATTTGTTTAACTTAGACTACTTTAATCGTTGAAACAATATTTTTTTTGTTTATGTCAATCAGTCATAATCAACGTAAAGTCTAGTAAATATGTACATCAGCCCAAATGTCCATACTGAAGCACTACAAGACGACGAGAATAGTAAAGGAATTGAGATAATTGTAATGGGAATCATAATGAGAGTTAGACTCATACTCGTGTTTGTGCCCATGACAACGTCCGCTTTTTATTTATAAGCTTTTGATAATCATTCGACACTTACTGTTCAAGTGTATTTTTAAAATTAAAATATTTAATAATTTGTTTCGCTATTTCTTGTTTACCAGTTCCAAAGTCATCAAATTTTCCATGTATTCGTCATCGCTGCAGCGTTTGTTCACTATCATGGAGTAGTTCAACTTTCTACCTATAGATTATCAGAAGGTGATTGTCGTCCATCGGATGAGATTCTTACCAAGGAAAATTTCAGTATACCCTCGTATATATTGCATGTTATTAATAACCCTTGAGTACAAGAATGCGAGTCAATGTCGAAGCTAACAAAAGCTAATACATATCAGTCGAATGGTAAAAAAGGCAACCTTAAGGGAAAATAAAACTCGTCAAATAATTGTTATTGCATGTTTTTTTCTTATTGCTACCATTAGTTGCGCTGTTTCTCGACAAGCTATTGTGATATGCATACGTACGTTACAAAATGACCATTAGTGAATTAACTAGGATACTTGAACAACTGGCAAGAATATCTAATTATCATTAACCTGTTTTGCCTTTCTACGACATTACAGAGACATAAAATAAAACGGAACCATCTGAGTCAGTTAATTTTCCTCTAATTTTAAAAAATTTAGATTTTAGAATTACGAATTTTGTTTTCTTTTTTTAAAAAAGAACCTATTTTAACTTAATCGTTTTGGTGAAGGGGAAATTTGGTTCTTTAGTAATAAATGAATATATCTGTGCTCATTGTACTCAGGATACTATTTTTTTACATATCAGTACTTTAATGTAAATCTGAGAAAAACAGGTGTACATTCAACTACCATAACTATTTTTACCAACAGTTAATTCACAGAACGTTTTTCTGTTCTACAATAGTGAACTATGATAAGCTTCTGTATGGTTGGTTTTATTTGTTAAGCAATTTTCACAAGTTATTTTCTGTTTAATAACGGTAAATATATATAAATTGTGCAGTCTTCTTTTAGTTTATGTCACTTATATTACTTGGAACTTCGTAACAGTAGCTAGCCCTTTGCAGCTTTCTTTCATACCACGACACCATGTCATATACTAACCACCTCTCCGCTTTTTCCAACCAGTCCCAGAGTCGGCAAATAGTGCACGACGTGGAATTCTCTGGGATGATATTTGTAGAACATGTCCAAGCCACCGAAGTCGGTGTTTCAAGATGGTGACACCAATTGCATTATCGTCTCTGTGCCCGAACACACAATGCCGAACCTCTGCATTACTAACATGGTGTTGCCACTGGGTGTTAGCAATCTTTCGGAGACAGCGATGATCGAACACAGAGTCGTCTAACATCCTCAACTCGGAGAGGCCAGGTTTCACAAGCATAGAGCAGAAGTGCTCTCACCGACGCGTTGTAGATCCGACCTTTTACAGCCAGACTAACATCACGAAGGCACCAAAGATGGCCCAGATTGGCATAAGCCGCTCTGGCTTTCACTATACGTGCATTGATCTCATCACTCACGCCACCACCAGCACTTATGCAGCTACCCAGACATGTGTTCACCTTTTTCAGTTAATGCCGCTGACCGGTTTCTTACCTGAAATGTTATAAATTGAGGCATTACGAAGCAATAATTTAAAAGACTATATATATGTTAGGATAGTAGGAAACACCAGATTATATTCAGTGTGATATCTGTTCAGTATAATATTTCCTTGAATCAGTTTGGTGTGTTACTCATTCAACATAACATAGAGCACTCGTTTGTTTACATTCAGTGTAAAATCTGTATTTTTTATTTTCACTCACTAATTATCGCAGGCCAGTGAAGTCTGTAAAAATAAGTGTAGTTGGTCTATAATTTGTCGTGTTTTCGGGGTTCAAGTAAGATCAATGTGCTATCAGTTGTTGTCTTCTTCCGTACGTTGTGAGAAATCAAGTTTTCCTATTGTAATTACCAGCTTTCCTCAGGTATATATATATATATATATATATATATATATATATATATATTGACGGTAGATGTTATCACTTGAATAATGCAGTGATGTGATTTTTATTCGCGTCTAGCTATAACAACTTTAACTGTGCATTTACATCTTTAGGACTAGTAAGTAACAACGGGACTATTCCGACTTTGGATAATACTACATCATACTTTCAGGACTTATACTTTTTACTTAGACTGACTTTTTCAACTGAATTGAGATCCGATTCCTGATACTTAACAACTATCTTGTATACATTGGCTTGCTCCAGGTTGATGTCTTTAGTGAAACAATCTTTAAGTGTGATAGCTTTCCTAGACTGTAACTTAGGAAATTATAATGTAATTAGAGGAGCGGCAATTTCTTGAATAAAGCTCTTCATCATTTGGAGTCACTGGTTCACATGCCACCACATGCATTTCGTATTACTGGAGCTCATGCGAAAAAAACAAACCTTAGACCTGAATAATGAGTTCGGAAGAACACCGTAGTTTTATTGACTGTCCACATTGAAGTCCTGAACTGAGGGTCCTCGTAAATACATAATAATTCAAATAGAAGTTAAGTCAACCTAGGTGGTATATTAACACAGGTTCAGGGTTTCATAGATATATTTCGTTTATCGGTTATAACTGCCTGACTCAACAGTGCTATACGTTAAAAATAGTATGGTTTTACATGGAATGCAACATAAATATAAAATTTGTAGAGCTGAAATGTCATTAAGGGATTAAGAATCAATATTGTTAAATCATACGAATATGGTACAAATGAAAAGGGACTGAGATAAATATAAAAGGAATTTAAAGATCTGTTACGGACCGAAATGAGCGGGGGCTAGATGTACTTTTCTTATATATATATATAGGTTTGGTTTTCTCGAGTTGGTCCTGAACGATCACACTGACAGATAAGTTCATTATTTGTTTTATCGCAGAATATTACTCCATACATTTTATCTCTTCCCTTGTCAAGCCATATTTCCTGCTTTTAGTCTTAATATCAGTGAATCTACTGTCATTCTGACTGTGCTTTTCGATCTGTCAATTTTATTTCGCTGTCCTGAAACAGTATGTAAAACAGTACATACTTAATGTCAGTGATGTTCCAAACAAAATAGATCCAGACAACTGGATAACATGAATGCCGATAGCAAAGTTCAATTCAGTCCAATACAGAACACGAGGTAAATACGCGCTAAGAAATTATGCACATAAATCATAAAGTAAAGGATGTATTAATTTTAAAGAAAGCCATGTAAAATCTCGAAATAACAATCTAAACCATGTTGAAAATGACAATTACGAAAGATAACGTGATAGTGAGAAGTTACTTTTATTCAAAGACCTAATATTCCAAGTCACAACAGATAATCACGAACCATTAATAACATAAATATACATATAAAAATGAAAAAGATAACAAACACAAAGTATGATAGTCTTCAGAAAAGCACTCATAAAAATCATCGACTTTCGATCCGAAAATGTCGAGATGGTATGTATCAGGTATTATGTAAATCAAATGAAAGATAGATGATCAGTCAATAGACATACACATATCTCAAGTGCGTAATCACTTGTAATAATAGTTTTGCTATATTGTGGGAATAGTTAATCATAATGTGTTAGGAAATATATCCAGACCGAACATTTTTAATCGATTTGAATCAAAATTCAGTCCAACAGGTTTACAATCGCCAGTAGATAGACGGTAGTCGGCAAGTTTAACTAAACCGTGATAGTGAACTAAGGCTGCAACCACTGCGAACACATGAAATATTTGGTGACTTTGAAACTAAACAGATAAACATGAATTAAAGATTGGAAAATGAACTTATGAAACTATTGAATTTACTGAAGGAATATACAATCAATTGAAGTTAGTGTTTAAACGATGCTGAAAAAGACGATGACTTAGGTAGTCAACTTTTCTAATTACTTCTCAAGATAAGGTTTATTCTCAGTGTTATAATACTAACGTGTGGATAATGGTGGGTCGGTAGTAAGTCTTGGACTTTTATCCGTAAGCTTAAACCCCGCTCCATCTACTTTAGTTTGCGTAACCAGTTAGCATCACTAGTCCTCACATCTAGGTATAGTTCATAGCCATGTACACGAATCTACACCTGGTTAGTGAGATAATAAAAATAAATATATGGATAGTATTGTCTTGTAACCTCATATGAGCATGTGGTTTGTTTCTGCTCGATAAGAAATCCGTGATAGAATATAATTACACAAAAAATCAAACAATTTGGAGATTCACACCTATATTGTTTACTAAACATGTCGAAATACTACCGACTTGTAAAGATGGCAGTTCATTTTATTCTTTAGTCATTGTTCAAAGCTTTGTGATACCGTACACTAATTTTCCTGGTTAGATTTAGTTTGTAAAAGTGGTTCAAGTAAACAAAATAAATCTGTATAGATGGATGCTAATTTTCAAACTCATAAGTCTAGTTGTTTATTCTCTGAAGAAGTGACCTACACTGAGTCACGAAACGTCAGAAAATTTAAAGTATTTTATTTAGAATGATCTACAGAATGCCCAAGTTATTTGAAGTTATCAAGTCAAATCTTGGTAGTGACAACTATAAATATTACTTAAACAGATTAGGTTTTAAATAAATTTTATCATGGTCACTAGAAAGCCTTGATGAAAAAGCAGACACCCCTTAAAATTTAAGATGTCTTAGTTCTGTGACTCCTTCTATAGTCAGGATTGAACTTTTTCAGTTCGGTAAGATGCATTCCAATCTAAGTATTTTCCAATCGATTGCCCTTGATACAAACAGGCAAGTTCATTCATTCCTGATTTTGAGAATCCCTAATTTTCTAATTAGTAGCCTGATAAGCACGCCAAACTTGGAATCAAAAATCTCAAATAGAGGTTTTCTAGTTGTAATTTTTCTACATCTAGTAAGGCATAAAAATGTTATGTTCGTACTACAGCATAGTCAGAGTTTAAGTGTGAGATTAAGGAGCGAGTTTTCTACTGACCTCTTCTAGTAACGCCTAACAACAATAATTCCTATTTGTGTCCATCTTGTGGTGAAGCGTGTCTAGGTTAGAGAATCTCTTCATGTTTAGAAATGCTATTTGTCAAAAATAAACTTGACCGAGTCCAGTTGCGACAACTGGTCACTATTCTTTGTTCGATAGGCTAAGACATAGAAAATAGACAGTATTTCAGTCTGACGTATGCAAATGTTGCATTTTATTTGCTGGTTAAGTGTGTACATGAAACATTCTGAACTAATTCATTTAGGGTACATATAATATAAAACGATATACAAAAAGCAACAATAGATTATGTACATCAGGGAATTTTCATGCAATCAACAGGACGTTTATAATGTGCTTAACAAAAAATGATGCTGAAAAACCTGTCACTCTGGGATAAAACTATCGAAAAAAAGAGTGAAACATTCAAATCTTAATATCCAGAAGTTACTTGTATTTTAGTTCCTATTAATGTTCTGTTTAGAAAAAAAACAATAAGAAATAATTACATACAATACAACAAAACTAACCCAAATATCAAAACGTCCAGGAAATATTCTTTCCGGTACACGGACAGCATAGATAGTTGCACCACTTAAATACAAAACGGCCATGAGAATAAGCCAACCTAAAGAACCTTGAATAACAGAATGGAAGAATCCATCTAATATTACTGTATGAATGCATGGAATAACTCCTGAAAGACCTAATCCCATGAAAACACCAGCCCGAATAGGACGATAATGAGGTGTAGTAAAAGATGGATGCATTGAAACGACGACTGCTGCTATCCCCAAAACGGCAATCGAAATAGTATAAAATAACTTGGCCCACAATATGCAGTAGAATGAATAATATAAATATGGTATAAACGAGCCTAAATTTAGAAACGCTATGCCAGTATAGTCCAACCTGAAAGAGAATATAAACCTTACCATAAATTATTTATGCCATACTGGTGAGATATGAGTATAATAAGTGGCCAAAACACGAAAATGTCTAGAAAACCTAAAATGTGGTATTTTAGTTATAAAAGAAATGTTATCAGTTTATGGCTCCATAGATGATTAACCTGAACCTTGTTAGACACTGTAGGCATGTTAGTTAGTCTTTTCTAGGTGGTACGAATTGATTATTTTAAAAGTACAGGTTTTATATAGCTGTGATAGCATAATAAATAACCTGATAAAAACAGTTGTAGTTAAGTAAAAGTCAATCAAATGAACAGTGCTACGATATATGTCAAGGAAGTGAATAAGCTAATGAACAAAGAATAAGTTGCTCAAAACTTAACACCACGCACTAAGCTAATGCAGTGAAATGGATCTTAAAAGATTTGGCGAAATGCTGTCGTTTCAGAGTATTTATTTAAAGGGATTACAGTTACATAACCAATAACCAATTTTTCTGCCAACTAACATAAATATTAGCAAGAAGCATGGGAAAGGGTTTAAGAAACTAAGCGACAAATGTTTAGGAAACAAGTTCGTATATTCTATCCAACAGCCGACTAGTTGTATTTGTTTTGCATTATAAAATTCCTTTGATCTGGTAACTTGAGATATTCTATACCATTTATAAATTCTGACTTATTAACTATGAACATATTACTCAGTCTTGTACGACAAATATCTTATTTACGGATTGTGGTGTTGCATTTTTTGCATAGAATTAAATAGTTTTTTCAAGTTTTAATAACTTGTAATAATTCAAGATGTATAGAGTACTTGGTTGATTTTTCTGAAGATTGTTCTACAGTAGTTTTTAAGAAGGATGAATTCTGCATGGAGTATCAATTGTTAGCGTCTACACTAAATTAGTGGTCTCATTTTTATTGGCGTAGGACGAAAATTATAACACACGCTAGGTCCAGATGTTACTCATTTAGAATATCTATGAGTGGTATCGTACGGCGATGCGGTATTCCATGTAGTTTGCTTTCTTTTACAGTATAGTTAAGTTTAATATGTGCCAATTAAAAACTGTAGTGATTTTTACTCTACTAACATGAACATGAATAATCCTTATTTGATTTCATGTTCGACTGGACATAACCAAACTTACCAATCCGAGAGTCTAATCTGAGACGCGCTTTCTGAAGTTTTTCCTTATGAGGAAAAAACGCTGAAAAATTATAAGAAACAGTTATGCCTACTTTAATGAACACTTTTCCTGTTAATGTACGATACCTAAAACAATGAATAACGTCAACTCAGTTTACAGGTGATTTTGGACAACAGTAATATCCTGTGATCTGAATATCCCTAGAACTATTTAGTAACTTTCTTATCAAAATTGTGAGAATTACCTGTTAAACAGCCGTCCAATACTTTTTGAATGACAAGAAAGAGTGTGAAATAAACAAGAAAGTCCGAGACAAACAATAGCACCAAAAAAGAATGCAGAAAATACAAGCTTATCTTGCCATTGTAGTAGAGCTGCTGACTGAATTAACACGAAGACTGTAATGGCAAAAAAGCTCCCACAACCTAGAACAAACAATGTTTAAAATAAACATTAAGATAAGCAGAAAAATGACCACATATAATTAGAGCATGCTTTCAATTTCCCAGAAAGAATTTTTAAAACTGACTGTGAGTAAAAAGTTCCAAATTGCAGATACCCAGTCCTTACACAGGATTTTATAGTCATGCTACATTGAGAAACAATTAGTTAAGAAAAGAGACTGAACGTAGATCAGTTAAAACCACTAAAGATCACCACTTATTGCGTTACCCAAGATTCTAGTTGCTATTACCCAAGAACAATGAACGTAAGGTTTGAGTAGTGTAGTAACGACAGAAGTCGTCAACAAGTTTGATAAGTCAAAGAGCTTGAAAATGACCTACTCGTCGCTAATAGTAACAAAGACTTGGAATTATCAACGGACCCGTGGTTACCAAAGCTAAGTGCCTAAAAAGAAGGGGTGAGATAAAAACCGAAGAGTGAGGGGAAACGCTTGGAAGAACAATCAAACTATACCTTCCTTTATGGATACTAATTGATTCAGTCTTCAGACACAAAGAGAATAAGACATCACTGCTGACTTGTAGACTTCTAGTCGAATCGAAAGTTCTGGTAAGTCTAGAACGAGAAAAAGCAATGAACGATGCTGTATCCTCCTTTGACAATACTAGGAAGGCTAGTTTATTTATTTAAACACATAAATATTGATACAAAGGGGCACCGAATACATATGCGCCACACAAGTCACTTGATTTTGGAGTGGGCTGTAATACTGTCCGGGTGCCCAGACCGAAGCAGGTGGTTTTTTAGGGGGTTACACACGGAGCCTTCGACCTAAAGTTCTGGCCCACGAGGAAGTGGAGTAACGTAAAAAGATGCAGTGTCGTGGTAGCCGGTGACCAATAACTGGTTCATACGCCATTTATCCTCTGAGGATCCTGGAGCCATGTGCACCATTGGTTTGGAACCAAAATTTCCCAACTCTCCTAGGTGGACTTTACGTGTTCACCACCCGGGTACAGCGCCGGACATCGCTTTTCGTCCTCTCAATTTCGTAAACAGCACCCCCGCCACGACAAGGCAGTGAGTAGGACTTCCCTGGCAGTGGCTGTATACGTGTGGCCATGTGAGAGCATATCGAGAGGGAGAGCGGACTCTCCCCACCCTCGACCGCATCAGGGCATTCGGGAGCTAGGAAGGATAAGTATATTTTCCAAACCAAACAACCTGTCATGGATTTTAGTTTCTAGAGAGAAGTAAAAAGCTTTTAAAGAAAATCGTAAGTATCGATATATAGTAATGCACTGATAAGACCTAGTTTTTGATAACTCTGATTATACTAAATTTTTTAAAGCAACAAACTCCAGAAATGCGAATGACTTCGATCGGACAAAGAATGCTAAGACCAGATCGTGAGACAAAGCAACTGAGAATATTTAACAATGGCATCGTTTGTCAGTTTTCTAATAAGCTTACGGTAAATCGATCATCTTGAATCTATTATCTCCGAAGAACTTGTTATCCTTACGGTCTGAATTTATTACAAAGAATGGGAAATAGAAATTCAAGGTCGCTTTCAGAATGAGTATTAGGCGCATACGTAGATGGAACAAAAGGATACCGTTCAGCAATTCTACTAATTGAATCAAATTTTATCACAGCTTTAAACATCTTTGAAGACTTATGATTAATTTTAATACCTAAATCTCAAACTGTCCCATCAATTCGGAACGTTTTGCTTTCTGTGTATTAAATAGAGTAAAACAATTGCTTTATTATTTTATTTATTTTAACACATAGATATTGGTACAAGGAGGTACCAAATACACATGCGCCACAAAAATCTCATTGGATATGTGTGAGGGCTGTGATACTGCCCGGGTGGCCAAACCAAAGCAGGTGGTTTTCTTAGGGGACCACACCCGGAGCCTTCAACCTGAACGTCTGATCCACAAGGCAGTGGAGCATCGTAAGGAGATGCAGTCCCATGGTAGCCGGTGACCAACGATTGGTTCATACGCCATTTGTTCCTTCAGGATACTGGAGCCCATGTGCACCGTTGATTTGGGATCCGGTTATAGCGCCGGACATTCGCTTTTCGTCCTCTCATTTTTGTAAACAACACCCCCGCCACGAGAAGGCAGTGAGTAGGACTTCCCTGGCAGAGGCTATATACGCATGACCATGTGAGAGCATTTCGAGAGGTAGAGCGGACTCTCCCCACTCTCGGCAGTACCAGGGCATTTTGGGGCAAAACAATTGCTAAACACCGTCGATGACTGGAGTTGTGATCACTGGTTTTTATGGTTCTTAATTGTGAAATTGTGTTAATAACTTGTCAGTGAGATGATACTGGCTATCTGTCAACATGGAACCACGGGTATGAGTTTTGAATAAGCTCTAGAAAACTAAGTTTTCTTAGTATGATGTTAATGGAAGCAGAAGGGCACTCTATTCACAAACTAAATGAGATTTTTTAGATATAATTGGTTATTATTACTACCTCATAATGGCTTGGTAACTTAGTTTGAAATTCACTTGCCATGCAATCTACAGTTTTCCAAACTAGGTCCGTTTAAGACGATGACTGTTTTGTCATCTATAGACAAGATGTGTTTCCTACATACTACAGCATAGTTCAATTCCAAATAATTAATTTAATGGTGATAGGTTTGTTCACATTAATATGATCTAGTAAGCACTGAATTCGAACGTAGTTCAGTCCGAGTCTGAATGTCACATAATGTTAGGTAGTATATTGGTAACAGCAATAGTCAAAACTCGTGATCTCCGACATTGTTTTAAACCAAGAGAGTACCATCATCTGGTCTTTTATTACCGAGTTCCCGTTGATCAAATAGTCAGTTTGTTATTACGCTTTGCTAATGTAATCAAATCTTCAAACAACTAAAACACTATCCACTAGATGATGACCAAAATCGCCTAAGTGAATAATAAATTCACTTTTTAATACCTATAAGAGCGATGTAGAAGTAATCAGAAACTTTTTTTATCTCAAGATTTACTTTTTATTCTGAATGAGATTATACGGCCTAATAAAGCGCAAACAACTAGCAATGAAAATTTGTTAGGAAAATTCAGTCTTTTGTGAAGTACTCTCTGCTATCGATAATCATCAAAATAAGTGTAATGCGAAAATCCCCATAAAATATTCAAAAACAAAGAAATTATAGGGTATTCCCAGAATAATATTTTGAAGTTACGCAATGTAACTTCTGATACTTTCTTTAGGTAACTTAACACATAAATCTAGCAAATCATTTACAGGTCTATACCAAATGACGGCGAGTAGTTGATTGTTCACGTCAATCATAGCCCTATAATAAGTACAACTTACCCAACAAATGAGTCCATATATTTCCTGTTTCTGTATGCACTCTGAAAATGGACTTGAAACAAGCCCAAAAAGTGTTTAACTGAGGTCGATGATAATGCAAAATGTAATCATTGTCACGCAACCATGCAGGAAGACTGTGATGATTAACTACTCGCCAACCTCTGAGCCAAACATGACGTACGAACTCCTCAGCACTGTGTGCCAACATTTGAGCCAGCTATACCATATAATGGCGGAGAAAAACACTCAACTTGAGATAAATATTCTCAGTAACATATTTAAAATGATCCACTGCAGAATATGTGGATGAGCAACAATATCACCTATTTTCTCACAAGGATCTCCAAACAGAGCAAATAAATGTAGTGTGTAATGTAATAACTAATAAGTTATGAGTTAAAAGTCAGATAGAAACAGAAAATGAATACTGTTGTGAAGTGGATCACCACATAGTTCTTTTTCTTTTTAGAAAAATGGGGACATTATTAGGCCTGTGTGCAAATGGTTTGTAAACTTATTTGAAATAGTGAGCTATCTTATTACAAGTACTATCAATATTTCCCTAGACAGACTAAAATGTGGTTCAAACCTAAGGTTCAGAAACTTTGTTCCTTTACTAAAATGTGTAGTATTTGAAAAATCGGGAAAAAATAACATTTAAAAATCTACTGAAAACCTATCAAATATAGTGAAGCGTTACGATAAGTCACAAACAAAACAGTACTATGTCTTATCTTTCTCATGATAATAAACTATAAACTGGCTCCATCAAAAATAAAACCAACACATGAATACAACGAAAAACCTGTTTTTAAATTGATAACCGAGTGTTAGGTTAATATGATTTTGCTTCAGAAATGGAGTAATCAACCCCTACATTGCCTATTGGAAATGAATTGGCTTAGGGTGTTTACGACTTTATTTACTTCAGAAGTTTCATCAGCCTGAGTGAGTTAGCATCTGATAAATTTAGAAAAGAGGGCTTGATTTTTGCACACTTGTCAGTTGTGACGCTGGTAAGATGTTCATCTGTTAATGAATGACTGAATGTACTGTACAGTAGTCCCGACCGTAGCTGCTACCTTGACGTGGTGGTCGGGCTTGCCTATCGTGATGACCCAACCGAGCTATATTGGCTGGAACACATGTTCCTGCAGGTTCCACCATGCCAGGCAGGTCGATTGGAGAACGGTAAGACTAAAAGCAGCAATTCAAGGTCTGAGGGCGAAGTCGTACTGCTGACTGTACAGAGGTGTGACAGCAGTAAGGTGTTTCCCTCGGACAACCAGCATCTGCAGCGATGCTGCCTTCTCACAAGGAAGGAAGGGGTTATAAAAGGTTGACCCTAAAAATGTCACACCTCACCTTACCCCACGGATTTCCGTCTCCGGCGGTAAGGCCCTTTGAAGAACAGAGCTAACACATTAAAAACCTCCCACAAAAAGGCCGTGCGCGACCGGCCTCAAGCAGTTGTCCCTTGGGCTCTGCGGTCACGCACTCAGGTCGCTAAGACCAACACTAATCCGACTTCCTTTTCAGGTCCCTCAAGAAATACCCTTCCACGGTGTGGGCAACCGGGAAGTGATATCAGCCCTCATACCCGTAACAGCACACGAGACCAAGTTGGTCACATTCAAATCCTTCCTACACCTCCTAATAACTCTTATCTCCACGACTAACCCTTCTTACGTCCCCTTATCACCTCACCCCGCTAGTGCGAACGATTCGAGTACGCGGAATGTTATTCCTGGTCTCCTGAAACCACGCTCCAAACTACACGTAGGAGCTTTCAACGTCCGAACACTGTGCCAAATAGGACAACAGGCTTCCTTAGCTAAGACTTTAGAATCTCGCTCCATCGATGTGTGCTGCGTCTCCGAAACGCGCACACAGGATCCGAGTAGTGTCATTCATTTGACCGCACCATGTCAAAATAACGAACCAACTCGCTTTACGCTTCGTGTATCTGGAAGCCCTGATGCTGCTTCCCGTGGCCTCGCTGGCGTAGGTATAGCATTGAGTTCTAGGGCAGAACTAGCTCTCTTAGACTGGATCCCAGTAGACAGTCGTTTGTGTGCTGTCCGACTAAACGGAACAGTAAGGACTCGAGAAGATAGGGACACTCGTCGTTGCCTGTTCGTCGTCTCTGCCTACTCTCCCACTGACTGCAGCTCAGATGATGTAAAAGATGAGTTTTACAGAAAGCTTTCCGACCTTCTCCGAAAAGCTAGGCGTTCAGATGTAGTAATAGTGGCTGGTGACTTTAATGCTCAAGTAGGTAAACTTAGCGAAAAGGAAAGACACCTGGGTGGATCTTATGGTGTCGCGGTTCAAAGAACAGATAACGATGACCGTCTGTTGCAGCTATGCTCAGATAACCGCCTGTTTCTTGCAAACACTAACTTTAAGCATAAGGAAAAACATCTTTTAACATGGCGACCCCCTAATTCGTCTCAACGCTGGACCCAAATAGATCACATCGGTATCAGCCACTGATGGAGGGGCTCGATAGAAGACTGTCGCTCATTCTGGAGCACATGCTTAGACTCAGATCATGCTCTAGTGCGAGCGCGTATTTGTCTACGTCTTACTGGACGTAGGAAACATGCTGCAAGGAAACCCCTTAGGGTCCTGCTTAATGATAGTCAAGCTAAGAGTATATTTCAGGAACATCTAGAAAAACAGTTAGACAGCCATGTAAGTGACGCCCACCCCGAGGCAGCGTGGAATGACATCCGAAAAGCTGTAGAAACAGAAGTGATGTCTGCAAGTACGGTAAACCATAAGGTTAGGGAGAAACACTGGATCTCAGCAGCATCTACTGCACTGATAGATGCTCGAAAACTCATTCCATCTGGCTCTGAACATAACGAAGAGCGGAGTCAGCTTAAGCGTAAGCTGACTAGAAACCTCCGCAATGATCATGAACAGTGGTGGGTAGCGAAAGCAAGAGAGATGGAAAAGGCAGCGGCAATAAGTAACAGCAGGCAACTGTTCAGACTTGTTAAGGAAACCGGTATTAGGAACCCAACTGTTAGCAAAACAATCTCAGAGAAAGATGGACATATTATTCATTCTCAATCCAGGAGATTGGATCGATGGGCAGAATACTTTAGGAATCAGTTCAACTGGCCTTCAGCCACACTTCGGTTTCCCACGATCTCCAGTCGACCTGAATGGCAAGTTGATGTAAGTCCTCCGACTCTTTACGAAGTTGAAAAAGCTATAGGAAATCTGAAGCGTGGGAGAGCAGCAGGCCCTGACAGGTTTACCCCTGAGATTTTTAAGGATGGCGGTCCAGTATTAGCAGCGAGATTGACTGAGGTCTTAGGTAGAATCTGGGAACTGGACGTAATCCCATCTGACTGGTCTCAATCACTGATTGTACCAGTCTATAAGAAAGGACAAAAGTCCTCCTGTGACAATCACAGAGGAATTAGTTTGACTAATATAGTGTCTAAAATATTAGCTTCAATAATACTTCGACGTCTAACCAAAGCTCGTGAAGAGCAGACTAGAGAAGACCAGGCTGGTTTTCGACCTGGACGTGGTTGTATTGATCAAATATTCACATTACGTCAGATCCTAGAACATAGACACACATTCAGACGCCCCACAATGGTAGTATTTCTCGACCTTAAGGCGGCGTTTGACTCTGTTGATCGTGAGGTTCTATGGCAGTGTTTGTCACTGAAGGGAGTACCAAAGAAGTACATCAACCTTATAAAGGCTCTCTACTCGAACACAACTGGTCGAGTGAGAGCTTATGGTGAACTGTCATCAGAATTGATTACCTCAATCGGTGTTCGTCAGGGCTGTCCACTCTCTCCATTCTTGTTTAACTTTGTCGCTGACGTCCTTTTAGAGATGACACTTTCCTCATCTAAATTTCCAGGAGTTGAACTTCTACCGGGAGATCCACTTGTTGACTTAGAATATGCCGATGACATAGTTCTATTTGGTGAAGACGCTGACAGAATGCAGAGTCTACTGACCACTCTAAGCAACAATGCAAGCATGTTCGGCATGCGATTTTCTCCCTCGAAATGCAAAATGATGCTTCAGGATTGGGTTGCGTCGACACCCGAACTAGTGATAGGGAGTGAAGTAGTTGAGCGTGTCGACCGCTTCACTTATCTCGGAAGTCTCATCAGCCCTTGTGGTTTGGTGTGTGACGAAATCTCAGCACGGATACAAAAGGCTCGACTAGCTTTTGCCAACTTGCGTCATTTGTGGCGTAGGCGAGATATCCGTCTATCAACCAAAGGACGTGTTTACTGCGCAGCAGTTCGTTCCGTCCTACTTTATGGCAGTGAAACATGGCCAGTAAGAGTAGAGGATATTCGTAGGTTACTAGTATTTGACCATAGGTGTCTTCGAAACATCGCTCGTATATCCTGGGACCACCGAGTAAGTAATGCAGTTGTTATGAAACGGGTACTAGGTAAGGATGGCAAATCAATTGAGGAAGTAGTGAAACTTAATCAGTTGAGATGGCTGGGACATGTGTTGCGCATGCCCGACCACCGACTGCCCCGACGTGCGATGTTTTCTGGTGTAGGAGTAGGTTGGAAGAAAGCTAGGGCGGCCAGACCAAAACATGGCACAAATCCATGAAGTCACTGACAAGTGGACTGAGTCATGTTGGTAAGTGTAGACTATCTGGTTGGGGACCGCGAGACGATAGCAACCGATGGTTAGAGACCTTGAATGACATGGCTCAAAATCGTTTGCAATGGCGCAGGTGCATCCACTCTTTGTGTTCTCTTAAACTCTAATCTTCTGAATTCTTTATGTCCTTCATTTTCTTTCCCAATTTATTCCACTGGACTATACTCCTTTAATAACATCATCAAACCTTAATGTCCCCTATCTCTACTTATCCTTTCAGTACCTCTACCACTATGGGATTTGAATCGATAACTGAATCTCTGTGCTAATGTGGTATGGCAACTCGAACTGATGTACGTACGTACGAAGTTCCATGTTGTTACTGACTGACTGACTTGTACCACTCTATAACTGAAAAAATGACCTGTAAAATAAGCCGCCACTCTTAGAACACTAGTATTCGACAATAGGTATATTCGATACTGATTGAACATCATACATGACCTAAAGTCATCGAACTGTAGTAAACTTGTTCCACGATTCAAAAGGAATACAAATTAAATTTAAGCAGTCACAAAGAGGAGAGTATACTAGTCAGCAATTCGCTGTATTATTCTATGACTGTAAAACGTGGTTTATGTAAACAGAAGACAGGAAAAGGTTGCAAGTTTTTAGTCACAAGTGTCTTTAAAGCATTGCTCGCATTTATTATTTATTTATTTGAAAGGGTATCAAATACATATGCGCCACACAATAGCAATAAGGCCAGTAGCAGTTATCATTGATTTGTGTGAGGGCTGTGATACTGCTCGGGTGTCCAGACCGAAACATATCAAGGGGCAAGCGAGCGAGAAATACTAAGGTTAGGCATATGGTGCCAGATGAAATAACAAACTGATCCATGAGACAGTGAATTTCCACTGACTGAGGTGGCTGGAACACGAGTTACATATGCCTAATCACTGTCTACCTCGACCCACAATTTGAAGAAAAATAGGGTGGAAATCAAGGTATTGCAAAAGTCCATAGAATAATTGGCTCCCAAAACGAATTCTAGTGACAGGTGCAGATAAATTTGTTGTGGATCATACGATAATCGTAAACAGTAATTGAAAAGTTTATTGGACATCTTAGAAGTAGGTTACTTTGATATTATTTAGTTTATTTTATCCCTAAAATCGAACGCTTATTTGAGAAAATATTGTTCGGTGACCAATCTTTCTCGAGACAACTGATCTTACTGGTATTCCTATATTTTAGCTATTTTTGTTAGTTCCATATCGTCACGCTAGGGTAGTAAAGCGACTTGCTCTGATGTACGTTCTGCCAGGGAAGTCCTACTCACTGCCTTTTCGTGGCGGGGGTGTTGTTTACGAAAATGAGAGGACGAAAAGCGAATTTCCGGTGCTTTAACCGGATCCCAAATCAATGGTGCACATGGGCCCCAGTATCCTGATGGATCAAATGGCGTATGAACCAATCGTTGGTCACCGGCTACCATGGGACTGCATCTCCTTACGATGCTCCACTGCCTTGTGGGTTAGACGTTCAGGTCGAAGGCTCGGGGTGTGGCCCCCTAAGAAAACCACCTGCTTCGTTTTGGACACCTGGGCAGTATCACAGCCCTCACACAAATCAAATGAGATTTGTGTGGCGCATGTGTATTTGGTGCCTCTTTGTACCTATACCTATGTGTTAAAATAAATAAATAAACGTTCGAGTCAGTCCCTAAGTCGAATATGACTGACTGACATAATGGTAAACATTAGAGCTTTTTATTCGTCACGTTGTCATTGTCTTCTATTAGGTCATTAACTTGAGTTGTCATAATTTCGTATCAAATAACATGGATGTAAAAGCATACACCTATGATAACTGTACAATAAGTGGTAAGACTACGTAAAGTAAGGATCCGTCTGGGTTAAGTATGACTTTGAATCACAATACCGACTGATTCCTAAAATCTTTAAAAATTACCGAGACTTTAGTTTATGAACGAACCAATCACAAACAAGATAGTTTTGATTTTTGGCGCGAAATTCACTTATCCATAAGTCTAAATAGCATTTTGGGATTAAAGCTGTCAGTTCGTGATGAAAACTCCTAAACCTAACGGCCTACTTTAAGTCCTAATCCTAACACCTCACACTAATTCATAACCCTCATTTAACCATAGCATGTAGGTGAATATTCTCAAGGTCCCTTTGGTATCCCTCAAAGGTCATCCATAAACTATAGTTTCACCAAAATATCTACTAATCCCAAGACAGCTTTCAAAGAACTTGTGGTTTGATGGAAATTGTTTAGTGGAATAGACATAAATATTTCACCAGAATTTTAAACTGTAGTCCTAAGATCATTGAAACAGCAATACTACATGGTACTGATAAACTCACATCAGATATGTATATATATTTATATAATATCCCTGAGAAAAGTTTCATCTGGTACTCATTCCGAGGCTATTTTAAAAGCTTGACGAGAATCTAGATGCGAAATTTCGGCTTGACTGAGTGTTTATTTGTAAAATGTTTGCTCGTCGTATGTCATAGATTTCTAATTAACTTGAAAGATTCCGATGAACATTAAATTAGTTTAAAACATCGGTAGATTGTTAGCTAGTAGGGAAATACTCCCCCATTTCATCGTAACATTTGTCTGAAAAAGAATCTTATAACACTTCAGACAACGAACAGTATATTAGAAAACCTAAAACACAACCTAAGCCCTAAATAAATGGTAAAGATCTTTTCTGAGACTTAGGGCAGTTTTCGTTATAAACTTAATGTTAACGAGTTAGTTCAACAGAGACCGAGTATCCACGAAGCATAAGCGATAAGATAAGTGTGAATCTAGTATACCACTCGAAGTAGTAGAATGACACTTCACCGATCTATTTGTATACAAAATTTAACTCCTATATTTACCTGTGAGATATCATATTGCTTAATATACTCCACACAGCTTATTCGTTGACTTTCGTCTTCTAGTAAACGTGCAGGCATCTTTTGTTCATCAGCTTGGACTATTTCTGTGTGGTCATTGTCTTGGTAATTCATAATCAATGTGACGAATGAATGCAATAACTATATAAAACTATGCTGTTTAGGTCGAAAAACCTTTGTTCAACCAGAAATATGATCAGTGCCAAGAAAGAGAGAGTCGATATGACTTTTTACACTTGAGACTAATAGCCTGGACGATTTCTAGAATGGAAAAAAAATAAGACAACTGTGCGTTAAGATTAACTTTACATAGAGAATTTGCATGGAGAGGTAAGTTTTAAAAACTTTACACTGATACAAATAGTTTAATATGGGTTTTCTATTTGTTTGGTGATCAATACGCAAAATTTCAGATATGTATTACATACATAGTACATACATATTTTAGGCAGCGCTTCAGGGGTATCGTCCACTGATGGAGGTTGCGAGCACTTGAAGGTCAAACTGTTTCAACATGATTGGTGCGTGACATCGACAACTCGTGAAGTTTTTCAGAGGCGGTCAAATCAAGGCATTTTTAGATTTGAATTGAGTTCAGCCACACCATGTCTGATAACGTCCATCCTTCAAGTAACGAAGATGATGCCATCGTTATGATGCATGATATAGGACCAATCTTCAATGATATCATGTTATCTCGGAGATTTACAAGTTGGGACAATTTTGAGACCTGTTTGAAAGAAGTACATAAGGTAATATGACTTCTGTGGTTAATGATTATTTTTGTAGTATACGCATACTAGGTACGTTATGTCAGTATGCAAAAAGAACAATGATGACCCAAATCTAAAGTATCGTTTACGTCCATATGTTTGTACATATGGACGTAAACGCAGTTCGTCAGAGTCAGATGCTTGCGTTCAGGATGTAGGTGATGATAGTGATCATCATTCTTCCGAAGAGCACACAACTTCTAACTCACCCCCACAACCTAGACAAAGAAGACGACGTCGGTCATCTACGTATGCTTTGCTTCAAATTAATTTATCCTTCAGGTCGAAATATTGTCATTGTCAATCTGGATTTTGGGTCCGTGCAGTAAATGGTGAGCTGAAAGTCACCTCTATCAAGACCGTGCACAACCCATCCTTGCACAGAAGGATATATTTCTGTAGATCCTTCAAGAAGAAAGTTGACGTCAAGTGAACGTCTATATTTAAGAACTTTTCTAATGAGTAATACGCCGACTCGTAGTTTACGGCATCTGGTTTCTTGGAAGTTCCATAAACAGCTTACCAAGGATGATATCTGTAAAATGCGTTCACAGTTGTACCCAGGTTGTTGAACTCACATTGTAATTAATTGAGATTAGACACCAAAAATATCAATAACATTTTACAGCGCGTTCAAGCAAACACTGAAGTTAAAGTACTCAGTGAACATGGAAACATATCTATGATTTGCTTCAGTCGCAGGGAGCAGGTATCTATTTACCACGCGTTCCCAGAGGTGGTATGTATTGACTCGACTTATCAGACCAACAAAGTTGGGTAAGTAACGAATAGCAATTAATTCATCTTACAGTTTTCCACTGTTCCAGCTAGTGGTGACTGATAGTCTTGGGCAAGGGCACACTGTTATGTATGCTCTTTGCAGGCAAGAACGACGAGAAGATGTCGTAAAATTATTGGAATGATTCAAAGATATAATGTGCTGTACTTATGATACACGCACTTTTGTTATGGATTCGGCAGCAACCGAAATTTCAGCAGTGCAGTCTACGCACAATCATGCCGACATAGTACTTTGTTCATTCCATGTCTTAAGAGCATTTTTCAGGAAGGTAAGTGTTAGCTGTACAAATTATTTTCTGTAGTTCCGAAATCCTGATGTACGTAAATGCTTGGAACACCTTGTAAAGACTAGACGGTCTGATATGTGAGCTTCGTTTTTCGTAACGCATTATATTAAGATTTACTCAAAAGTACGAACATCTGAGGATCCATTTCCCACATCTAAAAGAATGTCTTAGAAGAGGTGATTCTCTGCCATTGACGTTCTGGAAAATTTGGAGCAAAACAGATACTGACCTACGTTTGCGTCCATATGACGCTGTGAAGGATCTTCAACGTTTTCCAATTCTTGAGGTAAGAAATATAGTTAAATGTTTCATTAGTTCCAGGTTCCTATGTCATTTCGAACTCTTTTAAATGAGTTCACATCTTTTGCAGCTAAAATTGTAGCTGTAAATTATAAACGTGTTAGGTCAATGAGACACGAATGTATAGCAGGGGAATACATCCGGTGCTACGACAAGGGTATGATGTATGTTGTTGATACTTCACGTGCACGATGTGCTTGTGAGCGTTTCAATGACTACATGCTACCCTGTGGTCATATTCTGTATGCACATTCTAAAGATCTAATAAGTGGAGGTAAGTGTGTGTTCTTTTGTCTCTATAAGCATTGTAGACTTATTTCGACATAGCAGCCGGTGGACAAGGAAATATATAATGGACTTGGTTCTTCGTGCGCTCGACAACATGTCAATCTCTACCGGGAGTGATGATCTGCTAGAGAAGTTCACTAACAACTACCACTCAATCCATGCTCTTAGTGAACCCTTGGCAAGTAAACTCATCCGTTCATGCTTCGAAGCATCTGAAGACATATGCGCACAAGTGATGAGTTCAATCGGTGCTAATGATGAAGCTACATCGTCAGAATCCATTGTTAACACTGACCATAGCTATGCTTCTTGATGACAAGAAGTTCTAATATTGTAATCTTTTTAGTTTTACATAAATTCATTTATATGGGCATTAACTCATTCTTATAGCGTTACGGTAGGGAGAGTGTACTGTGAAGTCTTATGTCGCTGTGAAAAAGGGATGTTGTTTCGCGTTCTTGTGTAATAATTACCAGTTTAGCGCACACGCGATTAGTTATACGCACTGTTTACCAAACACTGCAACTTTGAACATGATTTACTATACTACTAGGTCGAAATTTGACTTGTCACGATAGGTAAGCATTGCCGTAATTAAAACACTGATGTATTATAAATGAGAACGTTTATTAATGTTGAAATCCAACGAAAATGATCCATTAATGAATAACTTCCAGTTCTTAAGAATTGTTCCAATTAGGTCGGTGAACACTTGCGAAGCCAGCTGGAAATAAGATAGACAGGAAATAACTATTACAATATAAATGTTTACCCAAAACTTATATAAAAAGAGAAACCGGTATTCAATTACAAATCGAGAGTGCATTTGGTACATCACGCTTATTTGCTTTATATATATATAAAGACTGCTATGTGAACTTACTTTGAATCGTCTTGTATGATCTGCAATTATTGGTGCCTTTTTTATTTTAGTCTCACGCAAGGTATAATTAATTGTCATTTACGGCATCAACATATAAGTTAGCCAGGCCTTCGGTAATTTTCGAAGATCATTATATACGATCTCACACAATCTGGTCACCTGAGATCAAGATATCTTGATTACCCAATCGTACTTATTTCTGCTATTGGCTATCTTTGCAAGAATACCGGCAGCCTGAACATTGGAACTCTGTTCAAGAGATAATATACTAACTCTAAGCTAATTAGCTTTATAAAGCAATCTTAGCTTACTCTCTGGTAAAATCTCCACATAATTGTACCTCTCTCGCATTATTATGATTTATTTCCTGCAATATAATGATTTGGTAGCTTATATATCTAACTGTAGAAGGTGATATTAACATATTGGTATGTGTTATAACCATCTACAGCATATACATAATATTGACAACACTAACAACAGTTAATATTTTCACTATTAGCCTATGTCTGCCATAAAAGTCGAACAAAACAGTGAAAATCAGCCAAAATTGTAATACAGAAGGGAAAAACGATAAATGTTATCATGGTATCGTTAGTTGTAACGCAGTTTTGGTAGCCTTGACGACAAAACAATTTTTATGACAATATATGCTTAGATAATATCATTTCATATAAAAATAAACGATTTCTCTGCTCTTTTTGTATAGCTAGGTAGAAATAATCGCCAATCTGCGATGCAAATATGAAAAAACTATTATAGCAGCACCTGATTAATGAATTTTCAAGGACTTCGCGATACCATGTAACGCAAAATGAAAAAACCCCTTTTCACTTAATTATGAAGACGGAAAATGATTTTTCAAATTTAAGTATAATAAATTTCAAATTTTGGCTGTGCACAAAGCAGAAATGAAGAAGTAGCGCAAAAAAGTGTCGCGATACCCCTGGAGCGCTGCCCATATTTTATATACAGGCACATTTAAACTGTGCTCCAAGGTCAATCAAGCATCCAGTATGTAGACCTATTCTTTAGTTTCAGTTTGGAAAGGACAGGAGGCTTGATGGCCTGTGTTAGTCCTGGTAATTGTGTTCTCTCAGTTGATTCAACTTTATTTTGAAAGAATCTACTGATGGAGCTTCAACCACGTGTTGAGGTAATGAATTCCACTCGTTGATGATTCGGTGGGAAAGTCGATAATCAGCTGAGAAGTAATTTGTTCTGGGCTTGTGAACTTTTATGGAGTGTCCTCGTAAATTCTCTGTTTTGAAAGACAGGAAAAATGAGGGCATATCAAGTGCAAATTTATCACTAAGCAATTTGAAAATTGTAATCAAGTCGCCTCTAGTTCTACGATATGACAAAGGGAATAGGTTTAGCTTGGCCAGTCGAGCATCATACGGAAGCTTCGCTATTCCGGAAATCAGCTTAGTTGCTGTTCTCTGGACCTTTTCTAAAAGCTCACTGTCTTTTTTTAAGCAGGGGCTAGCCGCTTGTATGCAGTACTCAAGTTTAGGACGTACGAACACTGTATACAAAGTCAAAAACGTTTGAGCGTCGACATGAGTAAAAGCCCTACGTATTGACCATAAAGTTCTAAAAGCTTTGGCGGCTATTGCACGGCAGTGTGCAGTAGTCTTCAGATCTTGGCTAACGATGACTCCTAAGTCATTGTGTGTCTGGACAACAGGTAGCTCAGTGTTATTCATCGTGTATGTATCTGAACCTTGATGACCGATATGCATTAAAATACACTTGGAAGTATTTATCGGCAGTTGCCATGCATGAGACCATTCGGATAATTTCTTCAGGTCATTTTGGAGTTCTAAGCTATCACCCTTACATCGTATCGTTCTCCATATCTTGACATCGTCAGCATATAGCAAGACCGATGATGATAGTAAGCGAGGAAGGTCATTTACGTACAAGAGGAATAGCACTGGCCCCCAAACTATACCCTAGGGCACTCCACTAAGCACAGTTTCCCAGCTAGATAGCTTTGAGTTTAACCGTACTCTTTGTTGGCGCCCAACAAGGAAGTCTTCTATCCACGTCAATAGATTGCCTCCAATTCCGACAATTTTTAGCTTATATAACAGCCGGTTGTGCGGAACCTTGTCAAAAGCTTTGCTGAAATCAATGTAAGCCACATCTACAGGTAACTTCTGGTCCTTAAAAGCGCATCAGCTTTCGCAAGTGACTAATAAGTTAGTGAGACAAGAATAACCTACTCTGAAACCGTGCTGTTTCTCCGAGAGGATTCGGTTTACATCGAGGTATTTGAACAGCTCTTTCCGAATAATCTTTTCTAAGATTTTAACAACCACACTAGTTAGGTTAACGGGTCGGTAATTCTCAGGTTTATGTTTCGTACCTGTTTTGAAGACAGGACTTACTATGGCGTTCTTCCAGTCTTTTGGTATACGACCCTGCGTAACGGATAGCTTAAAGCATATACTTAAAGGGTTCGCAACGAAGTTAGATAATTCCTTTGGTAGCCTAGGATGCAATTCATCGGGCTCCATGGATTTATCTATGTCAAGCTTATTTAGCAGATCAAAGACATCGAGTTCATTTATGGTCACGCTATCCAGTGTATATGTGGGGGGTTTTGAATGCGCTGACAGGAAGGGTGCTTCTATGGTATATACATTGCTAAAGTAGTTTGAGAACACTTCAGCCTTACCAAAGTCATCTTCCACTAATGATGCGGCAGTACTGTCTATCCATAGTGCAGGAATAATTCCTCTTCTTTTTGTCCTTTGGTTTATATAGAAATACAGGCGTTTAAGACATTCTATGGATTCCTTAACAATTTTTTCTTCGTACAGCTTTCTAGACTTGCGGAGGGTCGAGGCACAGGTATTCCTAGCTTTTCGGTACTGAGATTTTGTCTCATCGGTCCCCAGTAATCTAAATCTATCCCACATTTTTCTTCTCTTACGGAGAAGGATGCGGACCTCCCCATTGAACCATGGTGGGGAGTTTCTCGGCCCCCTTGGTATAGTCCAAGGAATGTGGGGTGCGGAATGCATCCCAAGCCGTTTCAATTGAGGACTCTGGGTCTATTGTCCAATCTACTAATGATGCCGAGTGCATGATATCTGGTATGCTTGTTTTCCAGACGTTAGGTCTGGATTGAGTTGACGATCGCTCGTGATTGACAGTTATATGGAAGTCAAAAGTTAAAACTGCATGATCACTTTTGCCTAGGAGTGGCATGTAAAGGAGGTTCTCAACGTCATCCTCATAGTGAGTTAATATAAGATCTAGTAAGGATGATTCAGTGTCCGGGTCGTACCTAGTCGCTTCTTTCACATGTTGCACTAGGGCACATGTTATAACCGCATCAACTAGTTCCTGCTCGAAGGAATTATCTGATGATTCGGTTCGCAGAATTCCCCAGTCTACCATAGGTGCATTAAAGTCCTCTAGGATTAGACATCGACCACTTCGCGACCGATTTTTGAACCTGTTTAACAGTACATCATTTACCTCACAGCTTGGACTGCGATAGACCAAACCAATTAGCAGCTCTTGCCCCTTGAATTTCAAGCGGCAACTAACCAATTCACACGTCCCACTTTCATGGGATACACTATCAATAATGACAAACGGGATAGCATTCCTAATGAATAGAGCTACTCCCCCTCCTTTACGCTTATGTATTCTGTCGGTCCTTACTAAAGTAAAACCCTCAAAATCGAGTTCCGTATTATCTATAGACTGTGTCAGCCAGGTTTCTGTGACTGCGATTATGTCGGGCTCTGTAGTGTCAATTTGTTCACCTAGTTCCAATAGCTTATTGAGCAAGCTTCGGGAATCAGTGTAACAGATCCGTAGCCTATTTAAGTGGCTTCGTGTTTCAACCAGAGTGGCTTCGGCATCATTCTCTGACGAAGCCAAAATATTTTTTTGCAGCACTAACCAATGAGATGGCCTCGGTTAGCAAGCTGATAGCACCCGAACAGCACTGTTGACAGAGCCATACGCAACCATTCCTACTGAACCGTTTGAAAGCTGCAGGCGTTAAATTTGTGCAAACTTCGTGGTACCTGTTGGGATGGCCACTGAGAAGCCACCCACGTACATAGTCGATTGACTAAGTTATCGATTAACTTATCGATCAGATGTTAAGTATTTGAAAAGCAGTCAATTGATTAGCTTATTGATGAATGTTTAAGAATTTTTAAATGACAATATTGATTATATATATATTTTTGTATAAATACGCATGTTTGATTGTATATTTTGATTCTTGTCAATAAGTGCTCACAAACGTCTTTCGTCTTCTTACTTGTGAGCGGTTGGAGGTTATAACGTTCGAGTGTCATCCGTTATAGAGTCTTTTCGTGCGTAATCGAGTAGAGAACTTAACAGTGGCGACGGGTTTTACAATCAACAATGCCAATTACCTTTTAAACAAATAGAATCTTTGCTGGAACGTCAAGAAAAACGATATTAACAGTTCCAGGAGAGTATGATGGAGATGTTAGCGAAACAAATGAATCTGAATAAGAGATTTTACTGATGATTCATGTAATACGCATACAGACTCGATAAT